AAAAAATCCATAAAAAATGTCATCTGTGGAAGCCGTGGTACTGTAAAAAGCACGACCAATCATCTGAGCCGGCCCGGCTAAAATAACTGGATGGCCTACCTGCCTGTCAGCCTTCCATCTGTGCACAAACTTACCTCGTGCCCTCATTGGTCATGTGCGCGTTCGTGTGTGTTGAAGGAGGGGCTCTGTAAGGAAGTGGCAGATTTCTTCTGGTTGTGTATTTTCTAATTCTTGCGCATTCGAGCTGGTTTCTCCAAAATGACCTACCCCACCTTTAAGTCATTCATAATATTACACTGATCCTGACAGATAATTAGTTGTATTGATTTCTTTGTTAGCCACTTTTCCAATTGCTTTTGACATGTAGATAAGGATTACACAATATATAAACTGCAATAAAGGAGAAAATGCAATCAGAATCCATACAGTCCAAGAACAAGGTCCCATAATTAAAAAAAATGCTTTAAATTGAGTTTTTACTATGATGTTGATGTCTAGATGATGTAGGTGTCCAACCAATCCTTATAACAAACACTATTTCGAACCCAAGCAGCTCCTACTGGTCGGTTAAGACAATTAAGATCTCAGTGATGGTTTAAAATAGTCAATGAAATCGGTGTTAGAAAGTTGTGAAACAATGCAAAATATTAGGCTGATGGGCCCACTAGTTCGGAAGATTAACCGTGGACACACACACGACCAATCACATGATCCCATGTTCAATAATAACCCTCTGTCTCTTTTAAGACGACCTCCTGACCTCTTGTTCCGTGTGTTCAGGTGGTGTGGTCCCTGTAAGATCCTCGGCCCGAGGCTGGAGAAAGCCGTGGCGAAACAGAACGGCAAAGTCACCATGGCTAAAGTCGACATAGACGATCACACAGACCTGGCTATCGAATACGGGGTGAGACTCGCACGCATTATACAGAGGGCAATCACTGTATGAATATTACCATACGAGTATATGTAGCACATATTTTATGGAGAGCAATCACTATGAATACTATTACATAAGTATATAGCACATATTATACAGAGGGCAATCACAGTATGAATCAGAGGTTGCGCTAGACTTTTTCACTGCCCGTCATTTTGACGGACAGGATCGTAAAACAATTCGTCAAAATTCAGTATTACCCGTCGGCCTTTACACTCTGAGAGAGAGTGAAAGAGTGAGAGAGAGATAGTGAGAGATATTGAGAGATAGTGAGAGAGAGAGTGAGAGTGAGAGTGAGAGAGAGTGAGAGTGAGAGAGAGAGAGTGAGAGAGAGAGAGAGAGAGACTGTTCTGAGTTTGTTCTAATCCATCGAAATGACGGATTGCTTTCAGATTTCTCCGTTATTGTTAATAAAAAATATATATATATCCGTCAGACAGAAAATATTCGGTTAACGCGGCCTCTGGTATGAATACTACCATACAAGCATTTTGAGCACACATTATACGGAGGGCAATCACGGCATGAATACTATCGCCATAGCTTTGTCGATGCTTCAGTTAAATGTCTGAAAACAGTCTGACTTCATGCCAATAACTCAGAAAACATGTTAAAATAAAGTAAAAACCTCTGATTTCTCCTCCAAGTTTGTCATGCATTTTCTTATTTTTGATCACACAGACCTGGCTATCGAATACGGGGTGAGACTCGCACGCATTATACAGAGGGCAATCACTGTATGAATACTACCATACGAGTATATGTATATTACCCGTCGGCCTTTACACTCTGAGAGAGAGAGAGAGAGAGAGACCCCATCGAAATGACGGACTGCTTTCAGATTTCGCCGTTATTGTTAATATAAAAAAAAAATCCGTCAGACAGAAAATATTCGGTTAACGCGGCCTCTGGTATGAATACTACCATACGAGCATTTTTAGCACACATTATACGGAGGGCAATCACGGCATGAATACTATCGCCATAGCTTTGTCGATGCTTCAGTTAAATGTCTGAAAACAGTCTGACTTCATGCCAATAACTCAGAAAACATGTTAAAATAAAGTAAAAACCTCTGATTTCTCCTCCAAGTTTGTCATGCATTTTCTTATTTTTTTTATTTAGTGATATAGGAGTTTCAAGAAAAGTGCATACAAGTACAGTGTCACAGATACACAGAACACAATAAGGAGCATTTACAAGTGGAGACAAAAACAGTATTTCTTTATCACAACACCACATGTTGTTGTTTTTATCGTGTATCCATTTTGTTCTCCTAATACCCTCCTTGGTCTTTGGTGTCCAGGTGTCTGCCGTCCCGACAGTAATCGCCATCCGGGGCGGTGACGTCATCGATCACTTCGTTGGGATCAAAGACGACGATGAACTCGAGTCATTCGTCAGCAAGATCATCGGGAAATGAGCCAGCCCCCCCCCCCCCCCCTTTGATCTCCCATTCACCTGCAACATGCTGAATTATTTTGGCTGCCATTTTGAGCCAGATTAGCAAAAGCCAATAAACAAACTTCTCGCCACCATGGCAGAACCATCTGCTCACACCCATCCCTCGACACTCCGCTTCAGCTTTGCTTTATCGCTTCAGTCTTTGTCTGTTATTTTTTTGTCTAGAGATGGGTGTGTGCTTCCTTTTTAACCCTTTAGTTCATGCCACGCTCCATTTTAGTCTCAATAATGTGAAGGTTCCTCATTACAAGAACCGGTTGTTGCTGTAACTGTCTAATAGAGTGGAAAATGTAAACTGTATATTTAAAACATTAGGGATGAACAGTTTCTAGTTTTAGCGGTGGAGAGGATTTAAGTTAAAAAAGCTGACGATACTGAATGAGGTTGTGGCGGTTTTACCTGTAGTTTCTGCTTTTGTCCACACGGGGGTGACGTTACTCTAACATCGCAAAGCCACACATGGTCATTTTACACCATTATGCCTAATAATGTGAGAGGGAAAACAAGTATGTGTGTGTGTCTGTATGTGTGTGTGTGTGTGTGTGTTGTTTCTGGGTCCTGACTGTGGAACTTTAAGTCAAATGGGAATTGCAAATATTTAGTTTATTACTCGATTTAACTCGTACCGGAAACATGACCAGGGGAAGTAATAAAGAAGTCAGAAAACGTTATGGATTTGAATTTTGTTTTTGTCTGTGGTTAAAAAAATACACAAGGTTTTAGCTTTATTAGTCCCTAATGACACTGATGCAATATAATAGTTATGTACTTTCCCTGTATTGCTTTTTTGGCACTGTTTATGAAGTGTCTCTACTTTAAAGAGTCCTCTCCTGCTGATGTTCAGGTGTATATCAGTATGTAGTGTCTCTACTTTAAAGAGTCCTCTCCTGCTGATGTTCAGGTGTATATCAGT